GCCCTCTGCCTGGAATTGAACTCAGGTCTCTCACTTGCAAAGCGAGTGCTCTAACCACTGAGCTACAGGACTCCACATCACGATAATAATCATCCCTGAAAGAAAGAAATCGTTCGGTCACTCAATCCACGGCTGTTTGTGGGACGATCGCCTTACGAGTACGCAGTCACTCCACTTCGCAGTGAAATCCTGCGAAGCGCTTCGAGATGTCCTTTCCGACGTGATAAGGCGCTGCAGCAAAGGCGAAGGGTTAGTCAATCAATTGTACGACGGACTTCACGAAAACCTGCTTCGAGGCTACGAGTTTCACATTCAAACCAGCGGTTGCGGGTTTCAGGGTTGGGGTTCGGGTTTGAGAGAATCGTTCAAGAGGGAACTGGATCACATCAACAACAACAACAACAACAACAACTGCTTGCGTTTAGATAGCGCCCTTCCAAGCGGAGGTGTTGAACAGCTGAGCGTCAAAGGAAATATTAATGGATGCGGGGACAGAGCCAGCAAGCGGGATTAACATTTGTAGTGACTCAGAATCGATGGGCCAAGCAACCCGCCTCCTGTGCCGTGGGTTTCCAGTGCGGAAAGCTTGCCATTCGTGACTTAGTCACCCTTGTCTGTTGAGTCCTGATCGTTGGCCGGCTGACTTGGAGCACTGCTTTGCGATAAGGGTTCGTTTACGCCGTCCCTTTGAGCCGTTCAGTATTTCCCTCCCCTCCCCTCCCCTCCCACCTCCACAGCCTGACAATGTACGCAAGCCTCGCCAGCGTACCCAGTTATCCACGAGCCAGGCTTCCCAGTTCTTGTTCCAACATCTCCCGGGCTGCGTACGTATGCGGTCAGAGCGTCTCACCCCGCAAACGAGAGGACCTGGGTTCGATTCCCCGGCGGGGTGAAACGTTGGGCAAGTTTCCTTACTCCACACGTCTCTTTACCGAGCAGTAAGTAGGAACCCGGTTGTTCATCGATTGGCGGATCGCTTTCCTCGGGGGTAAATCCGTAAAATAATAATAAAAATGTTGTCGCTAAATCCGTGACTGTTTGTGGGACGCTGCCGTGCGCAATTGGCTGCCGGGTTTCGCCCACAAAAAGCACATAGTCACTACACTTTACAATATATTCTGCGAAGCGCTTTGAGGCGTCTCAATGACATGATGAGGCGCTATATCAAATGCAAGGATTATTATAATTATTATTGTCATTATTATTATATTATTGCCTGTCTTTGCAACCCAGGTCCAGATAGCAGTCAGCTTTGCACCTTAGCCTTTATCCAATCTCTCCCGATTGCTTCCTGGTTGGCACTAAGCACTGCCTCAAAGTTCCTTAAGCTCCATCTGAAAGGTATTTAAGTCCCAACTTTGAGCGACAAAATTACCCGGCATTTGTACTGACTCACCTATCCCCGGTTAGACTCCAGCAGTTACCCCCAACGCCCACTCTGGGTGGGCTCTCCCCCCCAAGCCTTAGATCTTACCAACCTGCGCCTAATACTTTCCGGAATTAAGTAAGCGGGATGAGCAAAAATAACTCAGGGAGCAAATCTGTGCTCACATCGCCGCTCAGAAGCAGTCAAGCCATTGCTATCATCGCTGTGTTTCACACTGTGTATCGCAGTCACCCTTCCCCTTGAGCGACTAAGAATAAACCAGGTTTTTATTCATGCGCTGGTAGGGAAGTTAAATCATTTCCCACCGCCAGACACACACATACACATTCCCGTCCCTGCCTTCTCCTCTCCTCTCTTCCCACTGGGAAAAGCGTAACGCACAGCTTCCCATGGTGGCCAAATTGCATCCTTTTAAGCTCTCCCGAGATAAAGGGAGTAACAGGGGTCGTTCGTTCATCTCAAAGTGGATTCCTGGTGGGAGGAAAGCGTGTGTGTTGAGGACACCTCGCTGTGCAGCCGGGAGCACAGCGAGCGAGGAAGAGAGGAAAAAAACAAATGGAGGTTTATCCCCCTCGCGGCCTCAAACATACCCCGGTGTTCACAGGGAAAACGACGTGAAAAACACACCGGAGTTACCTCCGAGGGATTAAGCGCAGTGACACGTCAGAGGAGAGAGCACTACCACTGAGCCGGGCTGACGCAGATTAAAGTTATGTATAATAAATAATAATCCTTGAGTTTGATACGGCGCCTTATCACGTCTTCGAGACGCCTTAAAGCTCTTCTCAGGATATTCTGTAAAATGAATTGACTGTGTGTTTTGTGGGCAAAGTTATTGTCTATTAATAATAATAATAATAATAATGGCCTCCATTCTGTGCTGTAAGATTCTATTCTCTTTTCTATGACATTCCTCACATTCCTGTAGCTCAGTGGTTAGAGCACTCGCTTTGCAAGTGAGAGACCTGAGTTCAATTCCCGGCAGAGGGCGAAACCTTGGGCAAGTTTCCTTACTCCACACAGAGCCTAATAATAATCCCTCCAAAACCACAAACAATAATAAATTGGTCATTTTCAACGCACGACTGTTTGTGGGACATTGCTGTGCGCAATTGGCTGCCGCGTTCGCCCACAAATATACAGTCAATTCACTTTACAGTGTGTTCTGTGAAGCGCTTCGGGATGTCCTCCCGAAGTGAAAAGCGCGATATCAAATGCAAGGATTATTATTATTATTTGATTGGGGGAACCTTTCAAGGCAAGGAGGATGGGTCAAAGCGCTTCACGGGGTTTGCTGTCGAGTGTAGTGACTGTGCAGACATGCGTGGAGCTCTCAGTCTGGTTTGGATAGTGTTAAGCACGGTGATGGGTTTGCTCTGATATAAGACATCTGTCTGGCACATGTACTAAAAAGGCTCCTTATCACTCAATCAGCCTGTGCCTTTATATTTCCACTAGATGGGACTAGATCTTAATGAAGCATTGATCTACCGAAGGCAATTAAATCAGTGGGCTAAATTTACGAGGGGATAATGGAGGCCATTAAACTTCATGTGTATTTATTAAACTGGGGTTGCTTCCTGTCAGAGCTCACAAATGAGTGCAGAGTGAGATTAAACGTGTGCTAAAACACTGGTGGCTTGTGGCTGCCTTCGCTCCTTCCTTCCTTCCTTCCTTCCTCGCTCAGTAGCTCGGTGGTTAGTGCGCTCGCCTCACAAGCGAGAGGACCCGGGTTCGATACCCGGGGCCGGGGCGAAACCTTTGGACAAGTTCCCTTACACCCACGCCCCTCTGTTTACCGAGCAGCGAGCAGGAACCCAGTTGTTAGTCGACTGGCGGATCGCTTCCCTGGGGTAAGAATTCTCCGGGAGAATAAAATTCTCAGTCACTCAATCCCACGACTGTTTGAGGGACGCTGCTGTGCGCAATTGGCTGCCGCGTTTCGCCCACAAGATACGCAGTCAAAATATGTTTTGCGAAGGAAGCGCTTTGTAATGAGACGTCTCAACGATGTGACACACGGCGCTATATCAAATGCAAGGAGCATTATTATTATTATTATAATTAACGGGCTGGAGTTCCTCAAGTACTTTAGTGACCCTTAGCGTGTCAGCCTGGCTCAGTTAGTAACTCTCTCTCTCTCTCTCTCTCTCTCTCGTCTCTGAGTCAGAAGGTTGTGGGTTCAAGACCCCACATCGGGACTTGGAATCACGTCGGGGGGGGGTGTTGCGTTGTCGGAGGTGCCGTCCTTCGGATGAGGTGGACGTTAAAGATCCCGCGGTGGGGGAAATTAAAACTGACGCTGTTGTTTTTTTTGTTTTGTATCATAGGTTCTCCTTCAATTACGTGACAAGGAATGTACTCTGAGTAAGTCGGGGTATGTTAAGGGGGAATTGGAGTGGGGTGGGGTGGGGGGGGGGAACGACACTTGAAATATTTCTGGGGGGTGGGGGGGGGTTGTGGCCTATTATGTACCGCTCTCCGTCGCAGTCTGCAGTGGAAGTTCAGCCTCACGTTGGCGCGCGCACACTCCGGGGTGCGTCAGGGAACTCTCCTCTCTGAGCCAGAAGGTGGGAGGTGGGGGGGGACCTACCTACGACACGTCTAGTCTAGGCTGATGTTCCAACGGGGCGTCGCTGCTTGTTGTTGTTGTTGTTGCTGCTGCTGCTGCTGCTGCTGCTGTTGTTGTTGTTGCTGTCAGAGGGTCCGTCCTCCGGATGAGACGTTAAAGATTCCCCGAACAGGCACAAGACCAGACGGGACCTCGGTTTAACGTCTCACCCGGAAGGACGGCACCTCCGACAACGCTGGGGTTTCAACCAACGACGACGACGACAACGACAACAACGACGTCTTGCATTGACACAGCGCCCATCGGGCTGGGCAGCGCCTCAGAGCGCTGAACGACGACAGAGCCAGGGAGTAAAAGGGAGGCGCCCGTAAGTACGGTCGAAGAGTGGCAATTTGGTGGCCGTTAGGGAGGGAATCCGTCCCCGGTGGTGGGGGGGACATCGCAACCCCCTCCTCTCCCGGGAACTCCGCTCCGATATAATTCACTTCCGGGTCAACGAGCCTCATCGTCGCGTCATCGAGACGTCTCAAAGCGCTTCGGGGGACACTTCGTAAGGCGGAGTGACTGGGTGTCGTGCGCGGGCGAAAGGCGGCGCCCGATTGCTTTCAGGTCCGAAGGGCGTCTCGACGATGGGTTGTTCTACCGCAGAGCTCAGCGACCTGTTGCGTAGGCCAAACGGGGAAGCCCGGTCCTACTCACGGAAATACCCGCCACGTGCGCACGCAAACACACACGGACGTACATACACACACATGGACGCGCACACATACACGCACACACACGCACACACGCGCACAGTGTCCGAATTTGGTTCACAGCTATTGGTGACACGTGAGCGACATCAATCCGAGACATCACAATTGACCTGATTAGGGCGAGGTGGGTGGGGGGGGGGTGGGGAGGGGTTGTGGGGAGGGGATTGGTGGGGTAGGGAGGGAAGGGGAGAGGAGAGGAGTGGAGAGGGTGAGATGTGGGGGGGTGGAGGGTGGTGGGGGGGGAGATAGAGAGGCTTCTTTATCTTCCACGCAGCGGGACGGGAAGATGGTAGGGAGAGCGGGAGCCGGAACTGGAGCCGTCGCGACTGGGATTTGCGTCGCCCTGTTCGTCGCCTACTGCGTCTACTTTGACAGGAAGAGGCGTCGCGACCCGGAGCTGAAAGTCAAGCTGAGGGAGAGGAGGAGGAGGAGGAGGAGAAGGCAGAGGGAGGAAGAGGGATGCGCAACGCCAAACCCGTCCCGCTACCCGGACCCCAGCCACCTCCAGGCCGGGCGGGCCTTTTTCTTGGAGGGGTTGGAGCTGGGGGAGGGGAGCCTGGCCCAGGGCGACGTCCAGGTGGGGGTCGAAGACCTGAGCAACGCCTTCACCGCTTGCCAGGGCCCCCGGAGGCTGCTTCGGGTCCGGCGACGCTCTGTGCCCCCGCCTGTCTTTCATCTACTGCTGTCCCGGATGTCCAATGGGGGTCAAGGGGGAGAAGGGTGGGGTTGGTGCGGAGGTGGGGAAATTGCGGGGGGGAGCGAGCGAGTCCTGACTGACCCCCACCCCCCGCCGCCCGTTGGAGTCTGGGTCGATGAGCCTCCCAGAGGAAGTCTTCGCTGAGGAATGTTACCGAGGTGTCTTCTCGCCAGTCCGAGAAGACCCCCCCCCACCCCCATCGCTCCCACCTTTAGCTCTTCTCTCTGCATAAAAATGATATCAACAACAACCACAACAACAGCAGCAACAACTGATATTTACGTACGCCGGGAGGAACGGCTCGCAGCGCTTCTGGGAGTCTGGGCGTGGGCGTGGGTGGGTCAAGGTGAGCAGTTGCTGGGTGGGGGGGGTGTGGGAGGGGGTGGTGGGGTGTTTGGGGGGAGGGTGCGGTCAAAAAGATTGGAGGGCAGGGGGGGAAATTCAGATGGGGTTCAAAGCCTCCATCACAATCGCATCGTCTGCCCTCCCCGGATAAAATTGGTCCCTCACTCCGCGGCCGTTTAGTGGCGACAACTGTGCGCAACAAAACGCACGGTCACCGCACTCGACAGCGCGTCCTGCGAAGCGCTTTGCGACGTCCTCCCCCCCGAACGAAAAGCCGGTGTTATCGAATTTAAGGCCGGTCCTCGTTTCGCTTCCGAAATTTAAGACCGCGCGGAAAGGCGGATAATTCTTAAATCCGGTCTTTATTTGGGTGGTGGGGGGGGCAAAAAATACATGTATTTTTTTTCCCCCCTTCTGCAGAAAAAAAAAAGGTAGATTCCACGTTGCGCTGAAATTTCAGAGGAAACGGTGTCGGGGACTAAAACCGCCGTCGGGGCCGCAGACTGTTTCCGCGCCTTCGGGCAACGGTTTTACGGAGGGACAGTGGTTCATGTTTGATTCTCCCTCGTCCCTTGTTCTACGGCCGGGAGCCATTGGAGCTCGGCGAGGACTGGCGGGGGGGGCGGGCGGTGGGGGTTGGCGCAGCCGCGGAGTTTGGTTCGGGCGTGTTCACAAGCCGCGGAGTTTTGAGTCACGTTCGGCTGTTCGCTTGGGGTCCCGTTGCCTGGTGGTTAGAGCTCTCGCCACGCGAGCGAGAGGAAGCTCCACGCGCACACGCACACGCACGCACACGCGCGCGCACGCCTCTGTTTACCCAGCAGCGAGTGGAAACCCGGTCGTCAGTCGATTGGCGGATCCCTATCCGATGGCTAACGAACCCTTCAAGAAAAAAACGGTCACTCAACCCACGGCTGTTTGTGGGGGGGGGGGGGGGGGACGCCGCCGTGCGTAATTGGCTGCCGCGTTTCGCCCACAAAATACGCGGTCGACCCCACTTTACAGGTGAAGAGCTCTGAGGCGACTCGAGGACGTGATAAGGTGCTCTGTCGAATGCAAGGACAATTATCGTTATATTATTATTATTCACGTGACATTCGCCCGCGGAGGGAACGACCAGTGATGGTAATGTTGCAAACCTTCTGCCGCGCTGCATTTTCTTTTTTTTTGTTGTTGTTGCCTCGTTCAAGCGGATCGGGAGATGTCAGACTTCTCTCTCTCTCTCTCTCTCTCTCTCTCTCTCACTCTCTCTCTCGCTCCTTTTCTCGCCACTCACGCTGAGAGTTGGCTGAAGGAGAGGTGTGGAAAAACAGACAACACACTCCACAGCGGTTTGCGCAGCCCATTATAATTTCCATCCGAACAAGCAGAGAGAGAAAAAAAGAAAAAAAACCTTCCCTCGCGGCGGCTGCACAAGCCACAGGAGCGAACGCGCCAGGGACTCGGCCTGCGGGAGATCGGGGCCCGTCGGAAACGTCCGGAAACATCTGGACCGTCGGCAGCGTGTTAGCTATCCGCGTTGACGTTCCAACCTTGAACGACGTGAAAGAGAGCCACCTCTGACGGACGGGACCGTTTGCATTCGAAAGGGAGACTTTTTTTCTTTCCTCAAACCCGCACGCCCACGCCCACGCACGGCGTACTTGTTGGTGGGGGGGGAAGTCGTGGCCCGCAATTGGCCCCCCCCCCACCACGCCTGCGCCTCGCAAAGCGCGCAGTCGCTCGGCTCGACGGTGTCTTCTCCGAAGGGCTTTGAGCCGTCGTCTCGAAGACGCGGTGAGGCGCTGGATCGAGTAATAATAATAATAATAATAATAATAACGATTCCTTTGCATTTGATGTGGCGCCTGGACACGTCTGTGAGACGTCTCAAAGTACCGACGTGGGGGCGGGTGGGGTGGGGTGTGCACCCACGACCCTTCTGACTCGAAAGCGAGAGAGATACCGACTGAGAACCCAGCTCAGTTGGGGGTCCGAAACTTCTCTCCAGGAGGCTGCCTGGTACGTTGCCTGGCGCGGTCCAAACCGTCGCTTGATTTGCCTAATTTAAAAGGTGGTATCGCAGGCAGCAGATGCTACCGCAAGGCTCTTCACGACTTCTTTGCCTGTGACGTGAATGACTTGGGTGCAGTACACGCGCGCACCCACACACCCCTGCGCTTTGCTCTCCACTCACCTGCTCCTGTTCCCACTCATTCCTTCCCCCACTGGGGTGGTCTCTCCTTCGCCAGACCCTCTCGGTTCCTGCCGTGAGCCAGGCAGGTTCCCCCCCAGGGCATTGCTCATCCAAAGAGGATAGTCACGAGTCGGTCGTTCGAGCACACATTCCTTCCCATTGAGTGACGGTTCCACTCATCGGTAGTACTTGGGAGAGGCGGACTGATCGCTCGGGGCAGGGAAATCCTCCCATTCATTGCCTGTTAACCGTGCAAGCCAATGTCCAAACCGGTTGGGTGGAGTGACGAGCGTTTCAATGGACCTCCGAGAATGTAGGACACCTCCAGCGCCACACTGGAGCATCAGTCTAGACCAGTGCCAACCAAACTATGGCCCAATTGCTACTGACTGAGCCAGGCCGACACCGATACATAACAGCAGCCCCTAATATTGACCACATGGTCAAAGCGCTTCACAAGTAGTTACAGCGAGGTGTACTGACTGTAAAAAAATGCAAGAGGCGACTGGCTTTCACAATTGCTCACAGATTCACTCGCGACACTTTGCGTTAAATCTCGTGAGGCGCTTTGAGGCATCGCGATGACACGATAAGGCGCCATATTGAATGCAAGGATCATTATATCCTACCGTTGGGGTGTTGGCAGCAAGGCAGAGCAGAGGTGGGAAGGAGGGAGTCCCAGAGGATAAGGGTTTCGGCGGCACTTAAGAGTGAGATAGGGGCGGAGGAGGTGATGTAAGGTAGACTTGGCTCAGGAAACTGAGCCACTCACGAGAGAGAAGGAACGATAACAACCACAATAATAACATTAATAATCCTTGCATTCGATACGGCGCCTCATCACGCCTTCGAGACGTCTCAAAGCCCTTCACAGCTCATAGCGTAAAGCGAATTGACTGGCGTGTTGGGTGGACGAAAGAGTGCGGCTGTATCTGATAGCGAAAGATTGCTTGGCTTGCCTGTTGCAACATGTGTTCCCCCGACTTGACGGGAGCTCAGTGTTTTTTCCTTTCCGTTCGGAGAGCATAACAGCCCGGCTGTGCGCCTTTCACACGAACCAAGCAACACTGAGGGTGGGTGTTGGGAACTGGAGCCCACAGGACGCGAGGTGCGGCGACTGGGAGAAGCTTCCCCGCTGGGCCCGGGGTTCACGAAGTTTCTTCTTCCTCTTTGAACGCAGCAACAACTTGCGCTCGCGCTGTTGTAGCGCTTGTCCTGCGGGCTGGACCTCGTGAGGTGCTTTATTCACAGAGGCGATGGAGAGTCACCGAGCGAGGATGGAGAGCGGAGCTTTATGGATCTTTGTTTTTAAAGGGAGTGGACATCTGGAACTCTCTCTCCCTCTCCCGAAAGCCAGTGGATGTTGGATTAAGACTGACCCGGATAGATGTTTGTTAGGTCAGGGGATCAAGGGATACGGGGCAAAGGCAGGTAACTGGACTTGAGGTACAGATCAGCCGTGATCTAATTAACTGGCGGAACAGGCTCGAGGGGCTGAATGGCCTCCTCCTTTTTCTATGTTTCTATCCGAACCAGACTTAGGGTTCCACATTTGTTGGCACAGTATACACTTGGAAATTTCCCTGCGTTTGCGACCTCTGGAACCGAATGCGCACTCTCTCCCGCGGTACTCCACATATTGGTGTTATTATCGTTATTATTATTGTTGTTATAATTTTTACTGTTATTGTATTATTATTATATTAATCTGGGGGATTGTCTGTGACGTGGCCAGAACTACCTTCTCTTTTCGAATAGCCTCACGCCACGTTTAACCGCCATTGAGTTGGACTCAACCGAGGTTTAACATCTCCTCCGAAGGATGGGGCCATTTCACGCACCCCAATGCTGTGTCGGAGGAAAGGATTGGGGGAAAAGGGGTGGGAGGGTGGGTGGGGAGGCAGAAATATTCCAAATACGGTCAACTCCTGATAACTCAACCCTGTCTTAACTTGTCATCACCGCTTAATTCAGTATCCCAGCTGCATAATAATAACAACAACAATAATGACAATACTACTCCTTGCTTTCGATACAACGCCTTATCACGTCTTTGAGGGGCCTCAAAGCGCTTCACAGGACATACTGTAAAGCGGAGTGACTGTGTATTATGCGGGCAAAACGCGGCAGCCAATTGCGCACAGCAGCGTCCCACAAACAGTCGTATATATATATACACATATATATACATGTATTTATACATGTGCCTAACTCGCAGTTCCAGATAACTCGTCATTGAGCCCTTTTGTGGAGTCCTGTAGCTCAGCGTTCAGAGCACTCACCTTGCGAGCGAGAGACCTGGGTTTGATTCCCGGGGCAGAGGGCGAAACGTTGGGCAGGTTTCCTTACTCCACACACGCGCCCCTGTTTGCCCAGCATTAGGTAGGAACCCGGTTGTTAGTCGATTGGCGGATCGCTTTTCCGAGGGGGATAATTATTCCTTCGAAAAAAAATAGTAAATAAATAAATAAATTGGTCACTCAAACCACGAAATACACAGTCAATTCACTTTACGGACTATTCTGTGAAGCGCTTTGAGACGTCTCGAAGTTGCGACAAGGCGCTGTATCAAGTGCAAGGATTATTATTGTTATTATTATCATTATTATTAATTTTCCTCGGAGGAGCGAACAGTTACCAGGAGTAGATTATCCGCAGCCCTTTTCTCCGCATGGGTCAGTGTATCTTTGTGTGACCTCCGGGTACGAGAGAATAAACGCGACTAAACTGGAGCAGTGAGGGACAACCGCGTTCGGGTGAGGGACAACCGCGTGAACGAGGCCAGAGGAGGTGTTACTGATGAACAGTTGCGTTTGAGACTGAGTAAAGTCTAACGTGCTTGTCCGCCCAAAGCCCCAAAGCGAGAGGCATTTTTCTTCGCTGACCCAGTTCCACTTGCGAAGGGGAAAGGTCTATTTTGACTCCAAGTGCGAAATCTAGGTGTTGAGTTTTTCCTTGACCGTCTCCGCTGCGAACGAGCCATTTCGCTTCAATGCTTTGCGTGCGTGTGGTGGTGGTGGTGGGAGGGGTGGGTCGGGTGGGGGGGGGGGGGGCGCTGTGGGGACGTTGCTGTCCGCAAATCGGCTGCTGCGTTCACCTGCAAAACAGCAACAACAACTCGCAATGATATAGCGCCCCTCACGAAGGGTAGAGTCCCAGAGCGCTTAAAGACGCACAGTCGCTACATCTCACGGGAAAAAAAAAATGCTGTGCGATATCCTCCTGACGTGAAAGGCATTTAGATATTTAAATATAGTAAATAGTCATCGTTATTATTATTATTATTATTATGATGATTATCGTGCTTACAACCAACAACTTGCATTTGAAACAGCGCCTTATCACGTCTTTGAGACGTCTCGAAGCACCTCACAGGATACGCTGC